TTCTGGACTCAGTGGGACCAGGCCCAATGGGACAGGACCTTTAGGGCCCAAATCTGTTGCCGCCAATGCATCTCTTTGTTGTGCTGAGCTCGGGGGACATACGGCTAGCAAGGGCATTCCTTTAAAGGGGATCTTGACTGGTCTTACTGCATGTTCTCACATACTGCCCCGCGTCTGGCTCGACGACTGTCTGGCCATACTGGCCATACTCGCCGCAGTTGCTGCAAGCTCCTCGGGAATACCGGTCCCTCCACACATCCCGATCGAGGCCATCCCTCAAACAAGTCGGAGTCTTGTTTGAGTTATGAGCCTGCCCTTGACTCTTTTGCTGGCCGCCCTTGCCGCGACCAGCAGCCTTTCCTTCGGTTGCTGCAGCGAGGTTGCCACCCTCTACAGCCTCCTCGCTGCCGAGCTTTGTATCCTCCACAAGATCAGAAAGATCATCGATCTCGGTTTGATTCCCATCGGAATCAACCATCGTCAATTGACTACCGTTTGTTTTCCATTCCTATGGAGTCTTCTTCTTCCTACCGTCTGTTGCAGGTTGTTGTGCCCCTCCTAGCTTATTCTCCAAATCCAAGGCCTTCTTGCCAAAGTAGTCAAAAGTACAATACTCGATGCTTGCCTCACTGACCATCAAGTTCTTGATGTCTGCGGGAAAACATGTCAGGAACATGGTCAGCAAAACTTGTGGGTCATAGCGAACACCAGGGATAACAACAAGCTTTCGTACGACAAAGGTGAGCTCTCGCGCGGACTTGTACTTCCTAGTATCAAGCCAGGCCAACGCATCAGTGGCCCGCTGAGCCTGTAGAGGCTTGTGCCATCGCGTTTCTACCAACTCCGTATGGGTCTTCACCCAATCATTCATACGTCTGCCGAATCCCTTTGATGCCACTAGCCCATCTAGCCATCTCGCTTCCGAACTCTCCAAACATGAGGCAACAGTGATCACATCTTCCTCACGCAACGTCCTCTTTGTCCTTACCCACATTGGAACCGTCCTTAACCATGTGTTGAGTGCCTCATCCTTCTTGTCTCCAGAGAAGGTCTGAGGTGGTTTCAGTAGAGTCTTGGGGTACCAAGGCTGTGGTGATCCCATTTGTGGGACCTGCTGCTGCCCCGTAGCTGCAGCAGCTGGACCTGAGGATGAAGAAGTGGCAGTCTATGCTGCTGCTGCTGACGTACACTTGGTGGTAAACCAAAAAGGGCCCTGTCATCGCCGGATACAACGGCTGCGATGGATATGCTGCTGGTGGCCAGAGACTGGGCCCGCCTGTTGTGGCAGGGACTGCTCGTCCCTTCCCCTCCACGACACTCAGCATCTGGTCAAGGGTGGACTGGATGTCATCCAGTCTGCTGTCCATATACGAGTGCATACTCAGCATTCTCGCCTTGATGACCTTTCCCGCATCATCAAGGGTAGAGTCATCTAACCCTTCTAGTCCAGCCATATCTTTCTCTCCGCTCTCCATTCTGGTCTTTCTATTTCTAATCTTTGCTTCTTTTTCGGTACCTTCCCTGAGTTGTTTCTCTAGATGTAGGCAGAGTAACTCTACTTGCCGAAGCTCTATCACTTCGCTAGTGGGTGGAGGTGGCTAGCTGTACTGCGAGCTCGTCATCTGACTGGAGGAGGGTTGTGCACTTGTCCCACTGGATGAGACAAAAGACATAGCGAAAGTTCCTGATGTCTGCTGACCTTGAGAGGTCGCCACAGAAGTAACCATGGCTTCAGCACTAGCTGCTGCTGCCGCTAATGCACATTCCGCAGCTGCTGCTGCCTCCCTAGTTGTCTGCAAACGTTGGGCCCTTGCTTCGGCCCGGAACCTTCTCTTGTCCCCTGGTAGAAGAACCTGGAACACTACGGGAATCCTCTATGTATCCCTACATGTCTCTATCCTATCGTCAGTTGTTCCTTCCCCACTCTCTCGCCCACTCATCATCCAAGCAAACTGTCTGCACTAGCACCCTCATTGGGGCCTACCACGGCATGTGTCTGACCGATTCGTGAAATAAATAAGAATAAATAAATATTTGGCAAGTCACCCAGGCTACCGATCAAGTGGTGTCAACAGAATATACACAGACTGTGCAAATGATGTACTCCTACTTCGATCAGTTCTTGCACAGCAGCACTAGACAGAACTGGAAATGGTAGACTACTACAGTTCTACTCTAATCCTATCTGTCAGGTGTTAGCAGTCGGTCACACATCAACTAATCAAAATAAAATAAATCACTTGCGCAGATGTATGCAGAAATGGAAATAATAGTGTCAATATTAGGGCACCAATTTGAACCTTCCCTCCCCTATATCCGACGATCCTGGTTGCATCATTGAACAGCGGTGTCTATGGTGTGCATACTGGCCCACCCCTGTAGCCACGGAACCGTATATGGCCAGACCTGCGCTTTCTTTATCCTCGCGTGCAACTAGCCTTACTCCGACAACCTGGCTGAACAAGAGGCAATTTAAGGACAGCCCCCGAAGTGCTCAAGAATTATTTAATGTCGCGAACAGGACGACGATCACAGCCAGGTGCCAGATCCCCACCAGAGGTTCTTTATAGACAGTCTGGTACGCGTCTCACATAGGACTGGCCAGTCCACGACCCCCTATACAGCGCAGCAAGAGCTCAAAGGACAAAGCGGCAAAGCATGCGTGGTCTACTCCCATAGGTTGGCATGGTGATCGTGACCCGTGCTTCTACCAGGGCCCTTCAGAAAACTGCCAGATGCACCACCAGGAAAAATGTCGACTCTCAAGGTACAGCGCTCACGACTCCTGAACCAGAAGAGGACACTCAAGTCAAACTCTCTTCCTCACGGTAAGAACAAAATGAGATGGGAAGATAAGGGAACAACATACCTGAAGATAGCTGCTCCCAACCACAGATTTCTCACCAATTGAGCCGACGTGCATTTTGATGACCGGTCACAACGTCGATACCACACACAATGCAATGGAGTGCCACCTCAGCCAAAATGCAACATCAGCATGCTCTCGTCATTCCACTTATATCTGCCATCGCCACAGATCCCACGCTGTCGCCACAGCCTTCCAGCCACGCTCCCCTTTACCCGGGAGTGGCTAATCAAGCCAGCGCCAATGTATCCTTACTGCGTAGGAGCTTCGTCAGCACACCAAGAAACAAAGTCGCCAGCGTCAGTGATGGGTGATATCGAGCCAGCTCCGATACCAAATTGCAAGGAATATGAGCGAGGGCGATAGACAGAAATCCAAATTGCAAAATCACGAAGTAGCCCAGATAGCCATGTACCAAGCAGAGAGCGCAATGCACCAAGATACCATCCATATACGAGGAATACAATGAACTCGAATGTCAATGCCGACGCTCTCTGGCCACACCAACATAGTATCCAATGTAGATCAGCGCCCAGCTTACACTTCTAAGGCTACCTAGCCTATCTACGTTCATGCCACAGGAGCACATCGAAGTTGAAGACCAATGTACGTGACACCATCACCAATGCAGACCGCCAGCATACAACAGGTACGTTCTCTCCTCCCCTCATCACACCCTGTCTCCCCTCTGCATGCGCCTCGTACCCGAAGACCACCATCACCATCACAGCGCCTGCGCCCCAGCAGCCCGGCTATGGCCGCCGTGCGCCCGCTGCCTCAGCAGTGCCCCTCTCACCTCAGCGCCTGTGCGCGCCTGGCCTGCCGCTTAGCGCAGCTGCTCTTGCGCTAATGCAGCAGCGTGGCCGCATTGCCCAGTCAGGCCAGAATGCCACACCCCTGGCCTCTCACTTTCCTATATGGAAAGTGTGCCCTTCCCCTGGCTGTTCTGGTTCTGGCGTGTAGAGGCCCAGTACCTTCAGGTTGGCCCAAAGTGTCTGCACCCAGGCCCAGTTTCAGATACTGGCCTGGGCCTCATGCAGTTAGGCACGTCCAGGTAGCCCTCCAGGCTCCAAGTGTTTGCCGCACTCTCATTGGCTCGTGGTAGATGTGTGACGACAATGCTGCATTCTCATTGGTCCGCGGCCACTGCGTGATGCGCCGGCCTCCCACTGTGTGTGCCCAGGGCACAACCACCTGAGCCCGGGGCTCAACTGTACAGCGCAGCTGTTGCTTCTGGAAGGAGCCACAGGAGGCTCACGTTGCTCTGTAACCAACTGACATGTTGCAACTGTCTGATACCCCACATACGAAAAAATGTTGAAAATAGGCCTCATGGGGATATGCCGGCCCGCCTTCACTTAGGGCGGGCCTGAGGTGTGCTGGGGCCTAAGCCCAGAAAGCTTGCTTGCCCGTGAAGGGCCTTTGCGGGCCTCAGTCCTCGCATAAGCTAAACGCCAGCTAAAAAACAGGCCAGTTCGTTTTGTTTGGGCGCCAAGGGCATATCTGGGCTCATCAAGGTCAGGGTCATAAGTACTCACGGTTTAACATGTGCTGTTGTTTTAACTATGTCTTTATTGGGGCTTAGGAGCAGGTTAATTCTGTGTCTCCAAAGTGGTGTGGGGGGTTTTGAGTTGTCTTTATGGTGTGAAGGTGCTTAGGCTGTGTTTGTTGCAGCTTAGGAGGGGGTTAATTCTCCATTTCCGACACCTAAAGCCCAAAACACCTTTCTTTCCCATCAAGGTTCAATGTATTCCATTGATCTATGATTGTTTTTCAAACAGTTCACCATTGCTATTTTTTCTTACCTACCTAAATATCCCCCATATTTTGGTTCCAGTATTCGCATGGTTAGAGGTTTCATGCACACTAACCTGAACTCCGTCAATGCCCCTTCCTCACGCGGGTCGAGCCGCGCTGGCTCTTCTTGTTGGTCTCCAAAGATATGGCTCGCGCTCAAATCCCTTCAATGCATTGCATCTTTCATCTTGCTTCATGTATTCAAATATAGATTGGTCTCTAATACTGGTCAAGCCCTTTCATGCATTGCATCTTGCTTCACGCATCCCGCACGATTCTCATACAGCCTTCTCTGTCCAATGTTATGTGTGGGTGGTGCATTGGCGCATGAAGACAGTCTTAAGAATTTCCTGGCTGCAAGGGCTGAGGCCTTTCTATCCAATGACTACATGGCATCGGACATCTTATGGATGGACCTGGTGAGTAACTGCAGCATAGCTCTGAATTCACCATGCCTGACTGTTTATTCTTGCATCTCTCTCTCTCTCTCTCTCTCTCTCTCTCTCTCTCTCTCTCTCTCTCTCTCTCTCTCTCTCTCTCTCTCTCTCTCTCTC